ATTTATTTATTTATTTATTTATTTATTTATTCAAATGCGAAGAAGACCAAAATCAAATCATCCTGCCCCCTGTGGAGGTTTATCTTCTCCTTCTAAACAGTTATCAACTCAGCTAGCTAGCCAGCTAGCTAGCCAGCTAGCTAGCCAGCTAGCCGGCCAGCTAGCCAGCTAGCCAGCTAGCTAGCTAGCTAGCTAGCTAGCCAGCTACCTAGATGGTCAGCTGGCTAGCTAGCTAGCTGGGCTCGCGTGAGGGTTAGCTTAAGCCAAGTGGCTAGCCAGCAAGACCGGGAGCCCAGCAGCCAGCCAGTTTAAAGCGCAGTTGGCTAGCTAGCTAGCCATATGGCTAGCTAGTTAGCCGCCTAGCTCGCTAGCTGGCTAGCTAGCTAGCTGGCTAGCTAGCTAGCTGTCTAGCTAGCTAGGTAGTTGGCTAGCTAGCTAGCTGGCTAGCTAGCTAGCTGTCTAGCTAGCTATGTAGCTGTCTAGCTAGCTAGCTAGGTGGCTAGCTAGCTATCTAGCTGGCTAGCTAGAGAACTAGCCATTCAGCAACCTAGCTACCTGGCTAGCTAGCAAGCTGCGCTGCTGCTGCTGCTGCTGCTGGCCGCGTCCCAGATGGGCCCTCAAGAGTTCCCTTTTGCTGCTAGCTTTTCTGCTGCGTGGGCTGGCTGCGCCTTTGCCGCTGCTGCTGCGTTGCCGCCGCCGCCGCCGCCGCTGCTGCTGCTGCTGCTGCTGCTGCTGCTGCTGGTTGCTGCTGCAGCAATCAGCAGCAACTCGAACTTGGGAGCCGGCTGCTGCCAGCCACCCATTATCAACAAACCCTCGGGGGTTTCTGTGCAGCTGTGCCCATAGCGGGGCCCCAGGGGGGCCCCCCTGACGAAGAGGGGCCCCCATTTGCTGCTGTGGCTGCTGAGAGCAGCAGCAGTTTCGAGGGGCACTTGCTGCAGCTGCGCCTCTCCTGCTGCTGCTGCTGCTTCTGCTGCGCCGCCTGCTGCTGCTGCGCCGCCTGCTGCTGCTGCGGCGGCCAGGGGCGCCTCCGCCAGCGCGTCTTCAGCTTCGTCGTCGCCTGCTGCTGCTGCTGCTGCTGCTGCTGCTGCAATCTCCACTGCTGCAGCTTCTTGCCGCTGCACCTCTCGCGTTTCCGCGCCTCTGCTGCCGCCGCGAAAGCAGCTGCCGCCGCCACCGCCGCCGCTGCTGCTGCTGCTGCTGCTGCTGCTGCTGCGGGTGTGGGGCCAGCCCCCAAACAGCAGCAAACTGCTGCCCAAAGGAGCCAAAGTGTGCCCCATCCGGGGCCCGGGGGGGGCCCCCAAAAGCCGTACCCTAAACCAGCAAAGAGACAAAAGAGAAAGTGCATGCAAGTCCCCCAAGTAGAAGTCTCTGAGGGCCTCTTTGCTTGCTGCTGCTGCTGCTGCTGCTGCTGCTGCTGCGGGCGTTGCTGCAGCGGCGGCTGCAGCTGGCTCTTCCAGAAGCTGCAGCAAACCGAAGCAGCAACGCAGAGGCTTCAGCAGATTTTATTATAAATGTTTGTTTTAATTGTTTTTATTTTAATTGCTTTTACTTTATTTTATTTTGCTTGTAATTTAATTTATTCAATTTAATTTGATGTATTTTTTATTTTATTTTATTTTATTTTATTTAAGTTAATTTTATTTTATTTTCTTGTTCAGTTCCTTATTGGTCTTGTTTATCTGCACACTCATCTATGGCCGCCTTGCCGTTTATTTATTTATTTATTCATTTATTTATTTATTTGTTTATTTTATTTATTTATCTGTTTATTTGTTTTATTTATTTATTTATTTGTTTATTAATTTATTTATTTACCATTTATATTTAAATATATTATTTGTTTATTGTTATTTACTTGGTCTTCATATATCGTTTTTTGTCTATTTGTTATTTGTATATCATCTAATTTTTTTTGTTTTTAAATAATACCATTTTTAATAACTATTGATTATTTGCTGTTTATTTTTTCTCGTTTAATCAAGCTTTTTATTTGTTATTTATTTATTTATTTATTTATTTATTTATTTATTATTTATCATTATTTATTATTTATTTATTGGCATTTTTCTTGTGCACTCTTTGTTTGCTTTTTCACAAATTACTCATTTATCTCTGTATCTATTATTTTTGTTGCTGCGATATCTGCTGCTGCTGCTGCTGCTGTTGCTGCTGCTGCTGCTGCTGTTGCTGCTGCTGCTGCTGCTGCTGCGATAGTGGCCTTAGTCAGCCCATCCAAGTCTGCGGCCTCATCGCCTGCTGCTGCTGCTGCTGCTGCAATATCCGCTGCTGCAGTCATTGCTGCTGCACCCTCTGCTGCTGCATCCACTGCTGCTGCTGCTGCTGCAGCATTTGCTGCTGCTTCTAGGTGAGCCATTTGCCATTTGCTGCTCGCGTTTATTTTTGTTGAATTATTTATAATTGTTTACTTGCTGCTGCTCTACCCCAAATCTTCTCCTTTTCTATTTTTAAATTTAATTATTTGTTTCAAATTTGCTGATCCACAGGAGTCCCCTTGGGCCCTCTGCTGCGCTGCTGCTGCTGCTGCTGCTGGTGCTACTGCCGCTGCTGCTACTGCTGCTGCTGCTGCTACTGCTGCTGCTGGCTTTTTGTCCCTTTGACTTCAAAAACATAAACCCTTTTTGCCATTTAAACCCTTTCTTTCTTTAATTAATTCCTTTTCGCATTAATACCTTTTCTCCCTCATTTAGGGTTTGCTGCTCCCCACTTTGTACTAGTCCAGGGGGCCCGCTGTGGGGCCCCCGGGCCCCACAGGGGGCCCCCGGGCCCCACAGGGGCCCCCAAGATCTATGGGGGGCCCCCAATACCCTCACAGGGGGCCCCCTTGGCCCCACAGGGGGCCCGCCTAGCTCCACAGGGGCCCCCAAGATCCATAGGGGGCCCCCTAGCTCCACAGGGGCCCCCAATACCCATGGGGGCCCCCCTAATTCCACAGGGGCCCCCAAGTGGAGCTGCATGCATGCAGCTCTATTTGGGGCCCCCGTTTGCATGCAGCTTTTGGGGCTGCGGGGGTTTGCATGCGTTTGTTTGCAACTTCGAATTAATTTCATTTTTATTTTATTTTACTTTTTGTATTTTTATTTCTTTTTGTTTTCTTTTAAGTGGGGGCAAAGAAGTGCTTCATGTTGTCTTTCTTTTTATCTTTTTCAACTCTTTTTATTCTTTTTTAATTCTTTTGATTCTTTTTTATTTCTTTTTTATTCCTTTCTTATTCTTGTTTTTATTATCTTTTTTTTTATTCTTTTCTTTGGTCTTTTGTGCAACTGTAGGTCTCGGAAGAAGGTCTTTTAATGATTTTCTATTTTTCTTATTTTGGTTTTTTTTGATTTTTTAATTTTTCTTTTTGTTGTTTTTTGTCCATTCTTTTGTCTCCTTTTTGCTGCTTCTTCATAGTCTCTTGAGTCTCCTTTTTTTATGTTTTTAATTTTATTTTTAGAGTTTTTAAAAAAGTATTTTTAAAATCTCTTTTGTCTTTTTTTGGTTTTTTTTCTTTTTGTCTCCTTCTCTTTTTGCCAGTTCTACATTTGACTTGTCTCCTTTTGCTGGGGCGCATTTCTGCTGCTGCTGCTGCTGCTGCTGCTGTTGCTGCTGCTGCTGCGGTTGAGGCTTAGGATCTGGGGTTTAGGGTTTGGGGTTCAGGAACTAGGGTTTAGGGCCTAGGGTTTAGGATCTAGGGCATAGTGCCTAGGGTTTAGGGTTTGGAGTTTAGGGTCTAGGATCTAGGGTTTAGGATCTAGCGTTCGCGGCCCAGGTTTAGACACTAGACTCTAGAGTAGCAGACCTAGGGTTTAGGGTTTAGGGTTTAGGGTTTAGGGTTTGGGACTTGTGTTTTGCCGAGTCCTCCGTAGACGAAGATGTGGTTGGCCACGAGAGCTGCTGCATGCGCTGCTCGAGGTTTGGGGCTTTCTCCCCCAGCTTTTATTTCTTTCCATTCCATCTTTTTCAAATCCAAACAAAAACAATCATTTAAAAGTACTTTATCTCGAGCCCCTCCAAATATATACATTTCCTGTCCCCTCAAGTTGCAGCTGTGCCAAAATCGCGGCCCGGGGCCCCCACAGGGTACCTCGGGGGGCCCCCCCTTGGGGCCCCCCTGGGGGCCCCCCTGGGGCCCCCCCTGGGGACCCCCCCTGGTGCCTCCCTGGGGACCCCCCTGGAAGCCCCCCAGGGCCCCCCCCTTCGCGGAGCCCTGGCGGGGCCCCTGGGGGCCCCCCTCAGGAGAGGGCACGGGGCCCCCCTGGGGGCCCC